ATGATAGGTGGAAATAACTTATAGTGTACAGTCACATACTGATTCAGGTAGAATGGACATTCCAGGACGGCACTGCTACGACAACATTCCCCAAATTTCACTATGTGTACCTAAAACTTAGACATCCCTAAACAAATCTCCATTCTCTGGCTGCTCAATTAACCATCAAGAGGGGTGGGACCTCACCTAGCCTTCAACTCACTGATAGTGTGAAAGGCTACATAAATGTTAATACTTCCCCCTTTACCCTCGACATACCTACAAGTTCACTTACAGACACACAGACACACACACACACACAATCTCTCCAACAATTTTGTACCTGTGAAAATGAGAAAATTCAGTGGGGACAACATAAACATGCACTGATTATTCCTGCTTTTGGATCAGGTAAAATGTTTCTAGTTGAAATGGTCTATCTTGCCTTGTGAAGGTCAGTAACGTCCAAGGACGTGATTCTCAAACAGGTTCCCGTGCTTCATATTTCCTTTGCCCTGAGAAGGAAGCCTGGCTTCTAGCTAATGGAACTTCGACTTGGCTCAGAGCATTATTGATTTTTTTAGTTTCTCAGAACCATAAATATTGACAACCATCTCAGCAAGATGCTGGCAACCACTTCCGCGGTTTCTCCCTCTGGCAGGCTGATCGGGGGCCATTCTGTATGCACATCAGAGACTAGTCCTCAGAAATGACAAATGCTGATCGCAGGAAGACTGTATCCTGGATGACATATCAGGGAATCCCAAGGACAATGCTTGCAAAGCTTTGTCAAAACTTCACCTGATTCAGAGGGAAACTCGTCATTCATCATATAATGAAAGATTATGTGAAGCTTTCCAAAGGGGGAAAAAGTACACAAGAACTTTTAAATGCTCTTTCCAGGAGAAATCCCCAGTGAATCAGGAGATCATCTTTCCTCACTGTCTAATCAATCTCTCCCTTCCACAGTCCAAACACGGGGCTCCTCCAGGGGTGGCTGGTCTGTGTTAGACAAAGAGAAATTCATTATCTCATCTGCCTGGTGCTACTGTTTCCAATAAAGTGTAATTATGGTGGTATTGAGCTGCTTCTCACTTTCTCAAAGCCGTGCTACAAACTTTGGATCTGTGAGCAGTTACTTCCCAGTCAGTCTTCACTAAGTTGAACTGTCTCGGAACAATGTCTATTTAATCAGCAGGGTGCCCGCTAATTTTCTTTTTTAGAATTTGTATTAACCATAATGGACACTGGGTGCTCAGTGCCTCAGACGCTACACCATGACAACTCAGTGTCTCCTCTGACTTCAGAAGACCCAGGGACCACTGGATCGGGGCTACTGGGTCCCAGAAAGTCACCCCTCTCTCACCCCACCTCTGCCAGGCTGGGTTGCCACCACTCCCGGGCTAGCACGCTGCACTTCCCACGCATAATAGTGGGAAGAGCTTTGTAATTGCCTCTGTCACTCAAGAAACCTAAACTACACCTAAACTCTGTGAGGCAGGGGCTTTGTGTGCTGCTTCCCTGGCATCACAGTGTCAGGGATATGGCAAAGAGCTCAGCGAATACTTGTGGAGTGAGTGGAATGATGGCCGAGGGCACACCGCACTTCCCTACACTTCCCATCATGCCTGGTAGCACTGCTGGCCGGAAATGCAACACGCTCATAGCTCCAAACAGCTAAGAAAGAGAGACAGGAATTAATTTACTGAGCATCTACTGTACGCATAGTTTTACCACCGGGCAGGATATGGAGGTCCTTGTCGGTTACAGTAAAGATTTGGCCAGTACAGATTTTGATGGATAAAGCTGATTTTCCACAAGAAAATTGTAAGGCTAAACGAGTATGGTGTAAAATGGGGGGAAAAATGCTTGTAATAAACCTGAGATAGCAAGATTTCTCAGGGGAGGAAAAAAAGTCAAATCCAATTAGGTATTTTCAGATTGTATTTCCATTTCCTTTCTGATCCGGGCTTTTTTTTACCGGAGGTCTTGATGGCGTTTTACATCCCCACATCAAGGAAATCATCTTCAGGGAAACAGTGTCCCTGGCTCCTGCTGTCTGGCTCTGCAGCGTTATCAGGAGCAGGGAGTGGATTTCCTCTCAGAGGCAGCCAATTTCCTAAGCAATTAAATGCTGTTTATACTCCAAACTCTGTGCTTGGGTTGAAATTGTCATGCTTGATATTACCTGACTGTTGCCTAAGATGTCGCCCCATCTAGCTCATTTTACTGTAACTGCCATCTATTAAAATTTCCAATCTGTTCTCTCCTCAAGGGATCACACAGTACTTGGCAAAAGTACGGCTTCTAAATTCTTCAAATTATACTCATCTATATAAATATACAGTTTTGAAACGGCACGGTTTGCAAATGACTTTACCAAACTGACTTCCCAATCTGCTATCCTTTAACAAGAAAGGCAATGCTGTGGAACTCTTACACGCAAAGACACTTCTGTGCTGGTTTCTTAAAAAGAACCTAACGTAGATGCCAAACTTTCCTGAAACTCCTCCACGGGGTCATGGCGCCAAGGTGCTAGTTTTTGTCACTTCTAGGTGTGGACACGATCGAATACAGTTTAGCTGACGTAGCTCATTAGGTGAGGTGATACTACACAATGTACTGGATATTAAAGAAAAAATTATTTGTTCCAAAATCAACATTCCTGCTTGAGAATGTTGCTCTTTCTCATTCTGCCCACTCCTTATGGATTCTAGTCTGAATGGAAAAGTGAGGACGTCTGCATGTGCATTTTACGTGCTTTTTATAAAAGGGACAGCCACAGCCTATGATGGTAAGACACGCCTTCTCGGAGCAGCAGAGCATATGCCAAGGGCATCAGTAAGAGGTGCTCTATGGTTACGTCAACTAAAGAAGGTTCTACAATGATCAGGTCATTAGCCACTGCAGTCGCTGACCTTCAACACACCCTGAAAGGAATTCAGGGCAGAGAAAAGGAATGCGGCACTCTGTGCTCTGGAGAAACTGGAAGAACAGGCTTCCACATGGGTAGATATTTTCAGAAGAAACTTTTATGATCCCAAATTCTTGCATCTTCCCATACTTAGAAAAGTACTAAAGCCATTAACTAAGATATCTGTTCCTTGTGACTAGCAGCATCCTTCTCCTAAGATGTGTGCTTGGGTACAGGCACCCCCTTCACCAAAATCATATATATACTGACTTCCTCCATTACCTCTTTGGAAAATTTCCTCAGAGCTGAGAGGCTGTCCCCTGAGCTAGAGTCCTCAATAAGACACTGAATAAACTCAACTCACAGCTCTTACAATGTGAGGTGTTTTTTTTTTTTTTTCCCCCCCAAGTCAACAGTTTCAGTGGCAACTGCATCTGATTAGGGGTTCCCAAGGCTGGAGCAGGGGATGGGGGCTAGAAGCAGAAGTCTTTTTTTTTTTTTTTTTTTAAATGCCTTTTTTTTTTTTTTTTTTTTTTGTGCGGTACGCGGGCCTCTCCCGTTGCGGAGCAAGGCTCTGGATGCGCAGGCTCAGTGGCCATGGCTCACGGGCCCAGCCGCTCCGTGGCGTGTGGGATCTTCCCAGACCGGGGCAGGAACCCGTGTCCCCTGCACCGGCAGGCAGACTCTCAACCACTGCGCCACCAGGGAAGCCCTTAAATGCTTTTTTAAAGAAACAGAATGTCAACTTCCTATCTTCCTAAAATAGGTTTCAGGCAGCTTTTCATATTTCCTTTAGTGAAAACATCCAATCCACTTTAAACACTGCCAGCTATGCTCTAAAACACTCCAAGGATCAATCGCATCTCTCCTCTCCTAAAGACTTCTCCATTGTTTATGGAATAAAACCCAAATCCGGTGGCAGCCCTCGGGCCTTCACCATCTGGCCTCAGGCTGCTTTCCCAGCTTCACCTCCGCTCTGTTCCCCCGAGGAGGCGACTTGCCTTTCTCCGCCTGTGCCCAATTCCCCTCTGCCTCCTTCTGTCTTTACTCTTTGAGCTCCAGCCTCTGACAAGAATGTCTTTAGGTCCTTTCTTCTCCTGGGGAAACAAATCTTGTTTACCCTGCAAGGTTCAAGTTCTGCCTCCTCTGTGAAGACTTTCCTGACACTGTCATCAATACCACTCACACTTGTCCGTGAGTTCCCAAAGCATGTTGCTCATATGTTGGTTGACAATCATGTCATTGGCTTTGTATTACAGTTCATCATGGCCAGCGACCATGACCTGTTTTTTCATCGAAACCTGACACGCCCAACAGACTGAGGAGGGTGTGACCATCACTTGCCTGTAAGTGCACCCATGTTGCTGGAGTCAAACAACTCTGCTCAATGATGGATCAGAACTGACACACAGGTCATCCTAACTTCCAAATCTGGCCTCTCCCCAGTCATCTGTAGTTCACTGTGTCAGGTACTAAAGCCTCTGTCTCTCTGTCTTTATCCCCCAGGGCCTCAAACCCGGGAGAGGAGCACAGAAAACAGTCAAAGAAATGACACGTGCCCACTTCTAGTTCTAATTCTTCCATAGACATTAGGAGGGTCCCTTCCCCTCCATCTCTAAAGACAAGGAGCCTATTCTACATTTCTCTTCTGTTCTGCACGGGCCCCAGCACGGTTGCAGACAAGCCTTGTGTGTGTGTGTGGGGGGGGGGGGGGGCTTTGTTAAGAGGCCAGCAGAGGTGCAAACTACAGACCTGGAGGAGCCCCGGGACCTGCCTGCCTGCAGGAGGAGGCACTGGTTCATTCAACAGGGGTAGGAAGTCAGATGGTGGCCTGCTACGGGGCTAGTGCGGAGGGCTCTTCTGCCCCCCTCTGCTTGAGTTTGGTTGATACACATTCAGGGAGAAGGCAGGCCAGGGAGAGGGCTGGGCAGGGGCACGGCTCTGTCCAGGCAGCAGGAGGAAGCCCGGGAGACCCCGGTCCCATGAACTCAGCACGCGAAGGGACAGGAGAAACACCTGGGCCCGGCGCCTGGGGATCACGCTGTTTCCCTGGCGGCAGGCCATGGCCGGCGGGGCAGCGGAGGAAGCAAACGCGCGCAGCTCCTACCTTTCAGCTTCTCGGCCAAGAGCGCGGCCTCGTGCTCTGAGTAGTGCATGATGGGCGGCGGCGAGGGCGGCCGCAGCCGGTCCTCCTCCAGCTTGCGCCGGTGCCGCTCCTCGCGGGCGCGCATCCTCTGCTTGCACTCCCACTCGTAGAAGTCGTCCCGGGCCTGGGCGAAGTCCACGTGTAGCCGGCCAGAGTCCTTTTTGTCCGTGCTAGACCCTAAGCGCATCCGGTAACCTGAAACCAGTGGGAAGGCGGGTCACATCACACTGTCACAACACTGTCACGCACGACTGTCACAGTCGGGGCCAGGCCCTCAAGGCGCGCCAGGGGAGCTCTCACTGATTTCTTCTTCCCTTACAAAAGACATCCTTCCCATAGGAGGTGGGAAGCTGTTACCCTCCGAGGCCATCCGGAAGCGGAAGCGCGGCCCAAGGTACGCCTATTATAGATGTGGGGATAAACGCTCCAGTGGGAGGGGTCTTCAAGCCAATGTTGCCAAGAGGATGATCTCAAGAACCAGGGCACTTATCCTAACTCCTTCTTCCTTCTGGCTTCCAGGAAGATCAAAAAAATATTGGGCATGTAGCTTTTTTCCCCCTCTGCTTTTTATGGCCTCAATTTTATATTTTCAATTTACTGTAACTCTGTTGCAATAAGCCCTCTTACTTTTATTTGTTAGGAAGAGGTGGAGTGCAAGTTCATAAATATTATCTATGATATTTAAAAAGATCTACAAAGTAAATTCCGTGACACCTCACTCACAGGCTATTGCTTCATTCTCCTAGAAAACGCTGCTTGCTCCATTCTCTCTCGGCAGCTGCAAAAGCCACAATTACCAAGGCAATTTTGCAATACTGTTTTATTTCCACTTATCCTCTGGGGCACACAGGAGAATATTTTACCTTCAATCAAGAGGCCTCACCGCGGCCCTCCTTACAGCCCCTCCAGCACCTCATCTGGCACGCAGCACGGCGCAAATTGTCCATGCAATCTTTGAAGGCCACAGGAGCCCGTGTGAGAGCCCAGAGCTAGACCAAAAAAATGGGCCTGGAAGTCTTTGGGGGATTTACTGTGAGCTACACAACTTATAAAGATTATAAGCAGAAACTTGATCTGAGAAATCAACACAAACAGAACTGAAACCAGGCCGCCAGACTAACTTCAAGGGAAGGAGGTTTGGCTTTGAGGTTGCTCTTCAGTTTGGGGTACTCAGATTTTTAAAAACATAAATTCAGGTCCCAGCAGGATCCCTGCTGTCAGGGGCTGCCAGAAGAGAGAGCAAAATAAGCACTTTTGCTGTGCAGGGACTTTGCAAATGAGACACCACTGTGAAATGCTAGGCTGCACTGCACTGATGCTCGGGACCTTGTGGTAGATTTCAATGGATTATTTTAGCATTTGGGGTTGAAACTCAGCTGAAAAATCCCAGGAGAGGCTGGCTTCTCCCCAGTAGGGTACTTCACACCTTTGAAAAGTTACAAATGTGAAACAGATCTCAAGTCTGATTCCTGTTATGACCTTCTCACTCCCAGCTTTAAAAGGTATTGTCTCTCTAAAACTGGGAAGACATAACAATACCTATCAAAAACGCAAACATCTCAAGAGGGAGGGGATTTGGGGATGTAGGCACACGTATAGCTGATTCACTTTGTGATACAGCAGAAACTAGCACACCATTGTAAAGCAATTATACCCCAATAAAGATGTTAGAAAATATATTTTGAAAAAAGTGTTCACAAGCAAAAAGAAAATTAAAAAAAGCAAACATCTGATCACAGAGGAGAAGAATTAATGCTAAAGCAGAGTATATTTTGGTTGTGGGCTGCGGAAATTTAACAAATCAGCAGGCCGTGGTGACATATACATAACAGCTGAGCAGGCAGAATGGCCTAAGACTGGCCAGCTGTCCCAACTGGCCAAGCAACTTTCCCCTGGTCATGTCCAGAGCATCACTTTTCAGACATTTCTGGTTCCAAAAATCACCCGCTCTTTCATCACAACACCATCATTAAGGCCTTAAAAGAGCCCGTGATGAGGCTGGGTCTAAAATTAGCTTGGCCCTCAAATGTGATTGTGGTCCTAAAATTAGGCCATCCAGCTGGGCTAGGGCTTGCGGGAGCTCTTACGTAAGAGCGGCAGCCTGCCTTCCTTCCTGCCCTTCCCAGTCAGCCTTTCAGATCTTCCCAGGACCATGCTGCAACCTTGCCAGGGCAGCCCAGGCAGAGCTGGGAGACCCCCGTGTACTCAGGCAGGTCGGCTGGAGGTGAGGCCTTTGCTGTGGGATGCCAAGGGGTAGTCAGGCAGGGGCCCGGGTCAGAGCTTAAAAAAAATATAGCATCAAGGCATAAATCTGAAACTTTCATGTGCCTAAATATGGAACTGTTCATCTTCTGGCAATGTACTATGAGTTTTCTGATTGGGTCTAAACATTATGTTATGTCAGTGTTGAAAAACACCTTTGATTTACTGTAGCCCTTTCATTTAATCAGGTGGGGGTAAAGTCATAGTTGTATTGGTGGAGCTGTGATTAGAACCCAAATTCCCAGGGCAGGATTCCTTCTCTATCATCATCAGGATATCTGTGTTAAAAACAACCACTTACGGAATGGTTCCCATGTGGCACGTGCCCTGCTAGGCACTTAATATCCCTTATTTTGATTCATTCCGCATAACAATCCGATGAGGTAGCGCTATCACTATCTCGATTTTGCAGAAGAGAAAAGAGAGGCTCAGAGAGAGGTTATCTTGCCCGAGACATGTGAAAGCCAGTGCCACACACTCAATAGAATCCCCAGTTGTCTAACAGATTACTCTGATGCTGTCGCTCAAGACTTTGTGAGAGATTTGAGTGTTGTATTTTTATTTGATGTTTTATCGTCCCCCTCCATTCTGGAATACTTTCAGGCTTTCTTTTCCACTGTCAGGTTTTATTGGAATAAGGGTTTTAAAGTTCTCTAGGTCACTATCTAGCTCAGGAAAGTCTCTTCAGTGTTGGAATAACCCCAGGGCTTCTGGGGTTTGCAAGACAATTTTATGGTCATCGGGGCTGACTGCAGAGTTAGGTAAACCTGGTAGTAATGTTCAGATTTTTTTCCCCGTCTTCTTTTCCCACTTTTCCTCACTAGCTTTGCCTCTGGAAGAGGGAAGTGATGTGCAGAGTGACAGCCTGAAATATGCAGATGGAGACAGAGAGGGAATGGCAGTGAGTTAACTCTAAAAAGACATCCTTCCAAAGCTACATTTCAATACCAGCTCTGCGACGCTTAGATTTGGCAAAGGCCTTGCTGACAGGCTCCATACATTTGCTCCAACACCCATAGGGTGGAAGGCAGCAGGAGGCTTAATTTCAACCCCTGTAAAAATGTCCCTGATAAATGGCACCAGACAAGCAGGGATGGTGGGGCGGGCTTAGCCAGGCTAAATGCACTAGCAACGGGGCGGTTTCCTGGGCCTCCTCCTCAGGCCTGGGGACCACTGTCTGCAAGGCACTCATCTTGTGCCCTGGTGTCTAGAAAGTGAACCACTTCTGAAAAACTGAAATTATGCTGAGAGAGGACTTCATTCCCCCAGAGAATTACATCCAATAATAATAATGGTCCTCAGTATTCATAATATTGCTTCTCATCTAAGAAGCACTTGAGAACATTGATTAGAAACTCGATGGAATTCCTAAAGCCTGGATGGTGGGACACCATGTCTGCAGCAGGGACGTACGTGCGTTCACAGACTTAACAGGGAGCTTCTGACAGCCTAAGGGCAGAATTCCTCCTTCTCCAGCCCCAAACTGTGAGGACTTTTATTATGCATTAAGGCGAAAGGGAATACGCTCATATTAACGTAACAAAACATCCCAAAGCGCCGAGAAAACCCCCTTATGTGATGCAAAGTACCGGAAAGGTAAATGGCTTTATCAACCATGAACTCCTCGGCAAAGCGAATGTGACAAAAATTCTTCTTGCTTTTCCGAATCGCTGTGATGTCACCGCACTGCTCGAAGACTTCTTGGATGATTTCCTCAGTGGCGTTTTCTGGTAATCCCCCGACAAACACGGTCTTACACCCAGGAGGTCGTTCTCTTGTGGAGGGAGGTGGAAGATCTGAGAATCACAAAAAAACAGAGGGTTTTGCCTTTTAGTTATAGTTGCTGTTTTGTTTGTTTGTTTGTTTGTTTTCTGGTTCACCTGGTGAAAGTCAAACTCACAGACTACCTTTCTCCATTCTGAGTAATGATGGATTTCTAGAGTGATCTACACAGATGGCAGGCTGTCCTGGCTTTCAGTGCCTGTCCCCTCCTCCTCCCCACCTTTCTCTACTTTCTGTGTTCATTTCTACACAGAGTGGCTATGCTCGTCCGCGAACAGAGATCAAGCAAATGTTACCATCATTTCATTTCTCCTTCATAATACAGAGGCCTGGAAAATCGGAAAAAAAAAAAAACCTTCATGAAGTACAGAGCATGATGAAATGAAAACATGACGAAAAACCGAGGGTTGGGCTTCCCTGGTGGCGCAGTGGTTGAGAGTCCGCCTGCCAATGCGGGGGACACGGGTTCGTGCCCCGGTCCGGGAAGATCCCACATGCCGCGGAGCGGCTGGGCCCGTGGGCCATGGCCGCTGAGCCTGCGCGTCCGGAGCCTGTGCTCCGCAATGGGAGAGGCCACAACAGTGAGAGGCCCGCGTACAGCAAAACAAACCGATGGTTGCTGTCTGCCTTGTCTGGTTGCAGGATAATGGAGCAGTAAAAGGCAGAACAGGGAGCAGAGCCTGAAAGCAGGCGCAGTACTTACTTGGCTCCGAAACACAAGGCCTGAAACCACCCCCTCCTTTTTTTTTTTTTTTTATTATTCACATTTAAATGAGCAAACTACTAAATCTGAGGGAGCCTGCATAAAAAGATAAAAAGCAATCTTCTGAAAAGTCCACTTTAAAAAGGCAACACTGATTTCATATGAATAAAAAAAAATCCCAGCTATTGAAACCCATGAATTTAGTATCAGAGACTAAGTTAAAAAAAAAACAAACAACAAACTGGCCTATTTATTTGATCAAATGTATGTTTCCTTCAAGCGAATGCAATCTGGTCCAGGAGCTCTGAGATGCAGGCTCCCCGCTCCCCTCCACCACCCAACTGCTAACTGCCAAATTAATTCCGTTTTCCATCTAGCAAAACGCATTTCAGAGTTTCTCTCTCACATTTGTGAAGATGGATGGAAGTGTTCACATATTTCACACTCCAATCTGCAGCAAATGCTAGACTTTGTTGCGTGCAAAAAGGTCCTTAATGCTGGCTGTTCACCCCAATCACTCATGCTCCCTTCGTGGTGTCAATTCAGCTCCTGGATAGACACAGGGACCCACATATTTGTTTTAATCTAGAGACGAAGGGCTTCTGTAGAATGATCCCCACTCTGTGTACCTAGGTGGGAGAACTTTGAGTCACATCTGAAAATGAATGCAATACTATATTAAAAAAGAAAGAAACTTAAATCGATGATCAAATACTTCTCACAGATATCACTTACTTGGGTTTTGGGGAAAAAGAGTACAGCTTTTGCAGTGGATTATTTCTTTGACGACAGCCACTTCTGTTGGCGGGGGTGGGACCAGCCCCAGGCCTGGTATCATTGGGTTAATAGGGGTGATCCCAGTCATCATGTTGAGGCCTGGATCAAAGCCTGGGACACAGATTGGGTCTGTAAAGTACACAAGATATCATTTTGGCTGGAGGATCTTAAACTGGTTTTTGTTGTTACTTTCGCTGTTTTCCTAAAAAGATGATTTGACTTTATGCTTCCTATGTTTTAGGAATTTCTCCTGGCATAAATACAGCAATATAGAAAGCTATTTCAGAAAGGTAAAGAGAAAATAAAAGATGAACTTAATGCTACATGGAAAGGAAGTTATATTATTTAAAATATTAACATGGCAGAACAGAACACAGCACATTCAAGTGTACAACCACACGCCATGAAGCTTTGCTGTTACTGTGAACGTGATTTTCTGTTTCTTAACTTTGATGTAGATGTGACTGCCTTATGACCCAGGATGTGGGAAGAATATCATTTAACACTGAAGTGCCCAGTGAATACAACTGTCAACCCCGTTTTATCAAAAGAGCCTTCTTACCCAAGTGACCTCGATTTAAGGAAGTTCAGTTTATATGTGCCTACTTTATAATGATGCATTCAGGTCCAACCTAACCTATTCCCCTCAGGAAACAAAAAACAAAGCGTGATTGTAATTACTAAGGCTGGGTTAGATACGTGCGGGCATAATGTTAGCTGTATACATTTCTGAGCTCTATTGGATAATCACACGTTCTTCCTATAATTCAATCAGCAACTAATTGACCACCCTTCTGAAATCTTTATTTGTTGTATAAAAAATACAAATTTACGCCCTGCATAAAAAATGGAAGGGCACAAAAAGGGTGGGTTTTCCAATATAAACACTGAATTTTTTTTTTTTAGTGGGATAATAAGGCAAGTCATTTCAAAAGTGATATACAGGGATTTTTTTTATTTGTTTTTAATTAGTAAGACCTTTCTAAGAGTAGGGACTGTTGAGATGTATTGAGTTTCTAGAGTAGCTGCAAGGGGATTCCTCTCCTGAGAATTCTTCTGTTTTCAGGTAACATACTCTCATTGGTGGTGTGATACTGTTCGGAGGTAGACAGACAGAAGCACAGACGCCCGCCAGCAGTAGCCGTGGTGCCCCTCCACTATAGTTCTCAGGGATGAAATTTCTTTCTCTTGTTCTCCTTTTCTCCCCATCATCCTAGACCATTCCCATTCTTCCCTCCCACCCCCTGTCCTCTGTGGTTCTCACGTCCAGCCAGCCCGTGCCTTAGGCCCCTGCATGGCCTCACCCGTTGCTTACCTGTGCTGAAAGGTCAGATAAGCCCAGAGGCAGGTGAAGTGACAACTAGAGACTTTGTTTACCAAGACTCTCCAGGGGATACAGAGGACCAGCATGGCCTTTTCCTTTCTAGGAAGAAGTTTATTATAGCTTTCCTCCAGCTGCTTTGGGTATTTCCATTCCTCTTCTGGACTGGACAGAATAAGCAGGGCGATCCTGATTTATAAGCTCAAGAGGACTGCTGTCCCATTTATGAGGAAATCCATTTAATTTGACTGCATACCAGCCTTACTTCAGGAAAATGAGGTGGGGTTTTGGGTTTGTTTCTTGGTTTTGGCCTTTTTTAAGAAACCCTCAGTGTAAATGTCAAATGAGCATTCTCGTTCAAAGCAGTCGCCCTGACATTCGAGGTACTTCTGTAATTATGGTTCTCAGGTTCTTCGTCTCTCACACGGGGCTTTTGAGTGGACAATCTCCTGGAGCACTAGCCTCCTAGGACTCCAGGATTCTTCACTGATAATTGTTCAAAACAAAGTGAAGTACAAATGACATAAAAGTTTGGAAGTGACAGAGGCAGGACTCACACTTTGGTTCTTCGTTTGAAATCTTCATCAAGTTTCACAGGTGTTATTCCCATTTCACAGCTAAAGTCATCGAGGCTTAAAGCAGTAAAGTAAAATTTCCATCATCACAAAGCCAACAAATGGCAGAGTCAGAACTAGGGTCCAGGTCTCTGGCTCCGGATATAAAAACATCTCTTTTAACCACTTCGAAGTTTCCACCTAGAATGACCCAACTAGATCATTGACCTAATAACATGCCACTACCACAAATGGACTCTACTCTTTAAAACAAACCAAGATGTAGCCTTCTGATCCCGATGCCAATTCTAAAGGGGAGCTCCAGAACAGCAGAATGGCTTCCAATGTCATCATCACTGAAATAACACATTGGCTTCTCAGGAGGATATATTAGAAATAGAAATATTGGTAATGGGAATACTGGCAGCTGATGCCTTTATTTAATCTCATTCCGTACATGAGATTGGTCTGTTCCTTTCCTGGCCGGGCCCTTACTATTGTTTGCCAACACAGGGTGATTTAAGGCTGAAACCACTCAGGACCGCATGAAAGCTCCGTGAATTACAATAACCAGATGTTTCCCAAAATGAGACGAGCAGCCCAGTTCTTGCATTCTCTTTTAGTTGTAGCAGACTTGTGTTTTCTTTTTGAAGGCCAAATAAATAAACACATCTTCAGGAATGGAGACAAAAGATACTACTCTTGAGCAAAATATTTGAATACAGAGCAAGAGTTACTTTGCTTTTTCTGAGACATTAATACAAAGAGACTGTGGGGGTGAATGAAATCTGCATGGTGAGTGTAGTAGCTTGAAAAGAGCTTAGCAAGGAATTAACACTTAAATTATGCTGAACATCAAAGGATCTGAGATTCAGTATTTGAGAGGAAGAAGTGGGAAGGATTAGACTTTTAAAAAAAAGTATGAACCCATTACTTTTTAACAATATATGAACAGATGAAAATTGTTTTCTCCAAGAGCACAGGAGGATCTCACCAGGCACCTGCCAGCAGCATCTTCCGGCTTCCACAGGGTAGGAGTTTTTGAGTGTGGCTGCCGCTAGGCTACTGTCTGTGTCCCCAGCAGGAGACACAGCCACCCCCAGCCTCTCCAGGAGACTCTCCAAGATTAGCAGAATGCACCCTTTGAAGACCTTCAAGATGGCGGAGGAGTAAGACGTGGAGATCACCGTCCTCCCCACAAATACATCAGAAACACATCTACATGTGGAACAGCTCCTACAGAACACCTACTGAATGCTGGCAGAAGACCTCAGACCTCCCAAAAGGCAAGAAACTGCCCCACGTACCTGGGTAGGGCAAAAGAAAAAAGAGTAAACAGAGACAAAAGGATAGGGACGGGACCTGCACCAGTGGGAGGGAGCTGCGAAGGAGGAAAGGTTTCCACACACTAAGAAGCCCCTTCACGGACGGAGACTGCGGGTGGCGGAAGGGAAGCTTCAGAGCCACGTTGGAGAGCACAGCAGCAACACGGGTGCGGAGGGCAAAGCGGAGAGATTCCCGCACAGAGGATCAGTGCCGACCGGCACTCACCAGCCCGAGACGCTTGTCTGCTCAACCGCCGGGGATGGCAGGGCTGGCGGGGCTGGGAGCTGAGGGCTTCGGTCAGAGCGCAGGGAGAGGACTGGGGTTGGTGGCCTGAACACAGCCTGAAGGGGGTTAGTGAGCCACAGCTAGCCGGGAAGGAGTCCGGGGAAAGGTCTGGAGCTGCCCAAGAGGTAAGAGACCATTGCTTCGGGGTGCGTGAGGAGAGGGGATCCAGAGCACCGCCTAAACGAGCTCCAGAGACAGGCGTGAGCTGCAGCTATCAGCGCGGACCCCAGAGACGGGCATGAAACGCTAAGGCTGCTGCTGCCGCCACCAAGAGGCCTGTGTGCGAGCACAGGTCACCGTCCACACCTCCCCTCCTGGGATCCTGTGTGACCCAGGGACAACTTCCCTGGGAGAACGCACGGCGTGCCTCAGGCTGGTGCAATGTCATGCTGGCCTCTGCTGCCGCAGGCTCGCCCCACACTCCGTGCTCCCCCACCCCGCAGCCTGAGTGAACCAGAGCCCCTGAATCAGCGGCTCCTTTAACCTCATCCTGTCTGAGCGAAGAACAGACGCCCTCCGGCGACCTACACGCAGAGGCAGGGCCAAGTCCAAAGCTGAGCCCCTGGGAGCTGTGAGAACAAAGAAGAGAAAGGGAAATCCCTCCCAGCAGCCTCAGGAGCAGCAGATTAAATCTCCACAATCAACTGGAGGTACCCTGCATCTGTGGAATACCTGAATAGACAACGAACCATCCCAAATTGAGGAGGTGGACTTTGTGTGATTTTGTCTGTATAGCTTTGCTTTTACCATTTGTCCTAGGGTTCTGTCTGATTTTTTTTTTTTCCAGCATAGTTTTTTAGCGCTTGTTATCATTGGTGGATTTATTTTTTTGGTTTGGTTGCTCTCTTCTTTCTTTTTTCTTCTTTTTATTACTTTTTAATTTTCTTTTATTTTTAATAATTGTTTTTAAATTTTTTATTTTAATAACTTTATTTTATTTTTTTCCTTCTTTCTTTCTCACTTTTCTTCTGAGCCATGTGGCTGACAGGATCTTTGGTGCCCTGGCTGGGTGTCAGGCCTGTGTCTCTGAGGTGGGAGAGCCGAGTTCAGGACATTGGTCCACCAGAGACCTCCCGGCTCCACATAATATCAAACAGTGAAAGCTCTCCCAGAGCTCTCCAACTCAATGCTAAGACCCAGCTCTACTGAATAACCAGCAAGCTCCAGTGCTGGACACCCCATGCCAAACAACTAGCAAGACAGGAACACAACCCCACCCATTAGCAGAGAGGCTGCCTAAAATCATAATAAGGTCACAGACACCCCAAAATACACCACCAGACATGGCCCTGCCAACCAGAAAGACAAGATTCAACCTCATCCACCAGAACACAGGCACCAGTCCGCTCCACCAGGAAACCCCCACAATGCACTGAACCAACCTTAGCCACTGGGGGCAGACACCAAAAACAACAGGAACTACAAACCTGCAGACTGCGCAAAGGAGACCCCCCCCAAACACAGTAAGAGAAGCAAAATGAGAAGACAGAGAAACACACAGCAGATGAAGGAGGAAGGTAAAAACCCACCAAACCAAACAAATGAAGAGGAAATAGGCAGTCTACCTGAAAAAGAATTCAAAGTCATGATAGTAAAGATGATCCAAAATCTTGGAAATAGAATGGAGAAAATACAAGAAAAGT